GTGGAGGGTGGTAGTCCTGGGGCTCACAGGTGGTGGGAGGTAGTCCTGGGGCTCACAGGTGGAGGGAGGTAGTCCTGGGGCTCACAGGTGGTGGGAGGTAGTCCTGGGGCTCACAGGTGGAGGGAGGTAGTCCTGGGGCTCACAGGTGGTGGGTGGTAGTCCTGGGGCTCACAGGTGGAGGGTGGTAGTCCTGGGGCTCACAAGTGGTGGGAGGTAGTCCTGGGGCTCACAGGTGGAGGGTGGTAGTCCTGGGGCTCACAGGTGGTGATGGGAGGTAGTCCTGGGCTCACAGGTGGTGGGTGGTAGTCCTGGGGCTCACAGGTGGTGGAGGGTGGTAGTCCTGGGGCTCACAGGTGGTGGGTGGTAGTCCTGGGGCTCACAAGTGGTGGGTGGTAGTCCTGGGGCTCACAGGTGGTGGGTGGTAGTCCTGGGGCTCACAGGTGGTGGAGGGTGGTAGTCCTGGGGCTCACAGGTGGTGGAGGGTGGTAGTCCTGGGGCTCACAGGTGGTGGAGGGTGGTAGTCCTGGGGCTCACAGGTGGTGGGTGGTAGTCCTGGGGCTCACAGGTGGTGGGTGGTAGTCCTGGGGCTCACAGGTGGTGGAGGGTGGTAGTCCTGGGGCTCACAGGTGGTGTGAGGAGGTAGTCCTGGGGCTCACAGGTGGTGGAGGGTGGTAGTCCTGGGGCTCACAGGTGGTGGGTGGTAGTCCTGGGGCTCACAAGTGGTGGGAGGTAGTCCTGGGGCTCACAGGTGGAGGGTGGTAGTCCTGGGGCTCACAGGTGGTGATGGGAGGTAGTCCTGGGGCTCACAGGTGGTGGTGGGAGGTAGTCCTGGGGCTCACTGGTGGAGGGTGGTAGTCCTGGGGCTCACAGGGGGGTGGTGAGAGTCCTGGGGCTCACAGATGGTGGGAGGTAGTCCTGGGGCTCACAGGTGGAGGGTGGTAGTCCTGGGGCTCACAGGTGGAGGGAGGTAGTCCTGGGGCTCACAGGTGGTGGGTGGTAGTCCTGGGGCTCACAGGTGGTGGAAGGTAGTCCTGGGGCTCACAGGTGGTGGAGGGTGGTAGTCCTGGGGCTCACAGGTGGTGGGAGGTAGTCCTGGGGCTCACAGGTGGTGGGTGGTAGTCCTGGGGCTCACAGGTGGTGGAGGGTGGTAGTCCTGGGGCTCACAGGTGGTGGAGGGTGGTAGTCCTGGGGCTCACAGGTGGTGGAGGGTGGTAGTCCTGGGGCTCACAGGTGGTGGGTGGTAGTCCTGGGGCTCACAGGTGGTGGGTGGTAGTCCTGGGGCTCACAGGTGGTGGAGGGTGGTAGTCCTGGGCTCACAGGTGGTGGGTGGTAGTCCTGGGGCTCACAGGTGGTGGAAGGTAGTCCTGGGGCTCACAGGTGGTGGAGGGTGGTAGTCCTGGGGCTCACAGGTGGTGGAGGGTGGTAGTCCTGGGGCTCACAGGTGGAGGGTGGTAGTCCTGGGGCTCACAGGTGGAGGGTGGTAGTCCTGGGGCTCACAGGTGGAGGGTGGTAGTCCTGGGGCTCACAGGTGGAGGGTGGTAGTCCTGGGGCTCACAGGTGGAGGGTGGTAGTCCTGGGGCTCACAGGTGGTGGGTGGTAGTCCTGGGGCTCACAGGTGGTGGAGGGTGGTAGTCCTGGGGCTCACAGGTGGAGGGAGGTAGTCCTGGGGCTCACAGGTGGTGGGTGGTAGTCCTGGGGCTCACAGGTGGTGGGTGGTAGTCCTGGGGCTCACAGGTGGTGGGTGGTAGTCCTGGGGCTCACAGGTGGTGGGTGGTAGTCCTGGGGCTCACAGGTGGTGGGTGGTAGTCCTGGGGCTCACAGATGGTGGTGGGAGGTAGTCCTGGGGCTCACAGGTGGAGGGAGGTAGTCCTGGGGCTCACAGGTGGTGGAGGGTGGTAGTCCTGGGGCTCACAGGTGGTGGAGGGTGGTAGTCCTGGGGCTCACAGGTGGTGGAGGGTGGTAGTCCTGGGGCTCACAGGTGGTGGAGGGTGGTAGTCCTGGGGCTCACAGGTGGTGGGTGGTAGTCCTGGGGCTCACAGGTGGTGGGTGGTTGTCCTGGGGCTCACAGGTGGAGGGTGGTAGTCCTGGGGCTCACAGGTGGTGGTGGGAGGTAGTCCTGGGGCTCACAGGTGGTGGTGGGAGGTAGTCCTGGGGCTCACAGGTGGTGGTGGGTGGTAGTCCTGGGGCTCACAGGTGGTGGTGGTGGTAGTCCTGGGGCTCACAGGTGGAGGGTGGTAGTCCTGGGGCTCACAGGTGGAGGGTGGTAGTCCTGGGGCTCACAGGTGGTGGGTGGTAGTCCTGGGGCTCACAGGTGGAGGATGGTAGTCCTGGGGCTCACAGGTGGTGGAGGGTGGCAGTCCTGGGGCTCACAGGTGGTGGGAGGTAGTCCTGGGGCTCACAGGTGGTGGGAGGTAGTCCTGGGGCTCACAGGTGGAGGGTGGTAGTCCTGGGGCTCACAGGTGGAGGATGGTAGTCCTGGGGCTCACAGGTGGTGGGAGGTAGTCCTGGGGCTCACAGGTGGTGGGAGGTAGTCCTGGGGCTCACAGGTGGAGGGTGGTAGTTCTGGGGCTCACAGGTGGAGGGTGGTAGTCCTGGGGCTCACAGGTGGAGGGTGGTAGTCCTGGGGCTCACAGGTGGAGGGTGGTAGTCCTGGGGCTCACAGGTGGAGGGAGGTAGTCCTGGGGCTCACAGGGGGTGGAGGGTGGTAGTCCTGGGGCTCACAGGTGGTGGAAGGTAGTCCTGGGGCTCACAGGTGGTGGGTGGTAGTCCTGGGGCTCACAGGGGGTGGAGGGTGGTAGTCCTGGAGCTCACAGGTGGTGGGTGGTAGTCCTGGGGCTCACAGGGGGTGGAGGGAGGTAGTCCTGGAGCTCACAGGTGGTGGGTGGTAGTCCTGGGGCTCACAGGTGGAGGATGGTAGTCCTGGGGCTCACAGGGGGTGGAGGGTGGTAGTCCTGGGGCTCACAGGTGGTGGAAGGTAGTCCTGGGGCTCACAGGTGGTGGGTGGTAGTCCTGGGGCTCACAGGTGGTGGAGGGTGGTAGTCCTGGGGCTCACAGGTGGTGGAGGGTGGTAGTCCTGGGGCTCATAGGTGGTGGGTAGTAGTCCTGGGGCTCACAGGTGGTGGAGGGTGGTAGTCCTGGGGCTCACAGGTGGTGTGAGGAGGTAGTCCTGGGGCTCACAGGTGATGGAGGGTGGTAGTCCTGGGGCTCACAGGTGATGGAGGGAGGTAGTCCTGGGGCTCACAGGTGATGGAGGGTGGTAGTCCTGGGGCTCACAGGTGGTGTGAGGAGGTAGTCCTGGGGCTCACAGAAGGTGGAGGGTGGTAGTCCTGGGGCTCACAGGTGGAGGGTGGTAGTCCTGGGGCTCACAGGTGGTGGGAGGTAGTCCTGGGGCTCACAAGTGGTGGAGGAGGTAGTCCTGGGGCTCACAGGTGGAGGGTGGTAGTCCTGGGGCTCACAGGTGGTGGGAGGTAGTCCTGGGGCTCACAGGTGGTGTGAGGAGGTAGTCCTGGGGCTCACAGGTGGTGGGAGGTAGTCCTGGGGCTCACAGGTGGTGTGAGGAGGTAGTCCTGGGGCTCACAGGTGGTGGAGGGAGGTAGTCCTGGGGCTCACAGGTGGAGGGTGGTAGTCCTGGGGCTCACAGGTGGTGGGAGGTAGTCCTGGGGCTCACAGGTGGAGGGAGGTAGTCCTGAGGCTCACAGGTGGTGGAGGGAGGTAGTCCTGGGGCTCACAGGTGGTGGAGGGTGGTAGTCCTGGGGCTCACAGGTGGTGGGTGGTAGTCCTGGGGCTCACAGGTGGTGGAGGGTGGTAGTCCTGGGGCTCACAGGTGGAGGGTGGTAGTCCTGGGGCTCACAGGTGGTGGAGGGTGGTAGTCCTGGGCTCACAGGTGGTGGGTGGTAGTCCTGGGGCTCACAGGTGGTGGAGGGTGGTAGTCCTGGGGCTCACAGGTGGAGGGAGGTAGTCCTGGGGCTCACAGGTGGAGGGTGGTAGTCCTGGGGCTCACAGGTGGTGGGTGGTAGTCCTGGGGCTCACAGGTGGTGGGTGGTAGTCCTGGGGCTCACAGGTGGTGGAGGGTGGTAGTCCTGGGGCTCACAGGTGGAGGGAGGTAGTCCTGGGGCTCACAGGTGGAGGGAGGTAGTCCTGGGGCTCACAGGTGGAGGGTGGTAGTCCTGGGGCTCACAGGTGGTGGGTGGTAGTCCTGGGGCTCACAGGTGGTGGAGGGTGGTAGTCCTGGGGCTCACAGGTGGTGGGTGGTAGTCCTGGGGCTCACAGGTGGTGGGTGGTAGTCCTGGGGCTCACAGGGGGGTGGTGAGAGGTAGAGAAATAATAAGAAAAAATCAGAAATTACAGATCTCGTTAGATTTATACCAGTAAGTGTAAGTGGTATAAATACAGGTAGTTACCTGGGCTACAGGTAGTTACCTGGGCTACAGGTAGTTACCTGGGCTACAGGTAGTTACCTGGGCTACAGGTAGTTACCTGGGCTACAGGTAGTTACCTGGGCTGTAGGTAGTTGCCTGGGCTACAGGTAGTTACCTGGGCTACAGGTAGTTACCTGGGCTACAGGTAGTTACCTGGGCTACAGGTAGTTACCTGGGCTACTGGTATATTCCTGGGCTACTGGTATATTCCTGGGCTACTGGTATATTCCTGGGCTACTGGTATTCACCTGGGCTACTGGTATATTCCTGGGCTACTGGTATATTCCTGGGCTACTGGTATATTCCTGGGCTACTGGTATATTCCTGGGCTACTGGTATATTCCTGGGCTACTGGTATATTCCTGGGCTACTGGTATATTCCTGGGCTACAGGTAGTTACCTGGGCTACTGGTAGTTACCTGGGCTACAGGTAGTTACCTGGGCTACAGGTATTCACCTGGGCTACTGGTATATTCCTGGGCTACTGGTATATTCCTGGGCTACTGGTAGTTACCTGGGCTACTGGTATGCTATGGTTGCTAGTATTAATGGTTGCTGGTATTAATAAGGTGCCGTCTTCAGAAATGGTTGTGGCCAGTGATGGTGGGTCGGATGGTGGCTCATGACAGCTACAACTGCCTGCAGTTCCCAGGTACCACACCATGGCCCACACAGCGGGTCCACGGCTACTTCGTGGGGTCCCCCAGGTATGTTTCCTGCCTCCTGACCCATCACTTCTCCGCGGCCTACACCACCACTATCACGCCTACACCACCACCCCTACACTACCACCACCATCCCAACAACCACAGTAGTAGGGACGACACCTCAGCGATGACTTTTCATTTTCAGGCCTGGCTACTGCTGAGACATGATGGGTTCCTGGTAAATTTTGCAAGTTAATGCTAACGTCTTTAAGAATGCTTATGAGGAAAATTTACAGTCTCAGTTACCGCTAAGTTCTTTAAGGTTTCTTATGGGGAAAATACGAGGCAAATATTCCCGATTTAGAGTTAAAGGTTTCTTATGGGGTAAATTCAGAACAAAAGTTACCGTTTTGGACTTAAAGAGATCTTATGGGGGAAATTCAATCTTTTTAGAGTTCAGTTTTATAAAAATATTTCAGAGTTCATATGACCATAGAAGTTTATTCAAGAGATGATCGAGGACCGACAATATTTCAAAAGACCATTTTCAGAGAATATGTTTATAGAACATATAGAACATAGAGAGGGTGTGTTAGCTGGAGCTCCGATTGTAATAATATTATTACAGCAATAATGGAAGGATTAGTGAAGGAACTGATGAATCTAGTTGGAGCTCTGAGGACAGAGTTGGATTCGCTACGGGAGGAGGTACGACAGCTGGAACAACATCAGGAAGAAACAAAGGAGGAGACCAGTATTAAAAAGACCTCATCTTGGCAAGTTGTAGAGGACAGGGGTCTTAAGAAGACCTTGGCAAAACCAACAGCTAATATCCTAAGGACTTCTAACGCATTTGATGTGTTAGAGGACGAGTGCTGTGGTGAACCTGTAGTTCAACGAGGAGGCAAAGGCAAAGCAACGAGGAGCATTGAAGCTCAGATCCCTCAAAGTGCTCAAAAGGAAAAGGGAGGAACGAAGCGAATTTTGGTTGTGGGAGATTCCCAGGTGAGGTATTTAGACAGAACGTTTTGTGCCAGAGATAGGGGGAACAGGTTAAGGGTTTGCTATCCGGGAGCTGGAATTGGTGATATTGTTGGAAACATGAAAGATATTGTGACGGGAGATGGGAACAAACCCATTATTTGTATTAGTGCAGGGGGAAATGATGTTGGACGAGTTAGGAGTGAAGAACTAATACAGAGATTCAGGACAGCCATAGAATTAGTTAGGAGCAAGGGAGGAATCCCAATCACATGTGGCATTCTTCCAAGAAAGGGAGTGGGAAATGAATGGATGTCGAGGGCACTTGGTGTCAATTGCCGGCTGGAAAGATATTGCAAATCAAATGCAATATCTTTCATAGACAACTGGGAAGACTTCTATGGAAGAAATGAAATGTATGCTCGTGATGGGGTGCATCTGTCAAGGGCTGGGGTTGTTGCTGTTGCGAACTCGTTGGAACCAGTGGTTAGAGGTGTTTGTTTGGGTTTAAACTGTTAGTAGATAGTGGTATGGGAATTGATTTGGAGGAAGGAAGTAATAAAAGTATTTGTTTGTGGGAGAAAGGAATTGGCAAAATGATCAGGGAAAGAGAAGGGCCTCAAAATAACAATACATTTAGGGTATATTAAACTAACAGTAGAAGTCTAAGAAATAAAATAAACGAATTAAATGCTCTTGTCTGCACAGAAAAAAATAGATATTATTGCACTTACCGAAACGTGGATGAATGTAGAAAATAAAGAACTATTAGCTAAATATCAAATAAATGGATTTAAACTATATCACACAGATAGATATATTAGACGAGGAGGGGGAGTAGCCATATATGTTAGGGACAATTTGAAATGTAGTCTCAAAGAGGGAATCAAAACTGAGCCACACACAGAATCTATTTGGATAGAATTAAACGAAAAAACAAATAATATTATAATAGGAGTTAAATATAGGCCACCAAATTTAGACAGAATGGAAGCAAAGCATCTATGGGATGAAATATCTAGAGCATCTAGATCTAGCAGTATTTATGTCATGGGTGACTTTAATTTTAGTGGAATAAACTGGGTGAACAAAACAGGGAATAGTGAAGCAGAAGACTTTCTAGAATTAATTGACGATTGCTTTCCTACGCAACACATTAAGGAACCAATGCGGGAAAATAATATTTTAGATTTAGTGTTAACTAACAGGGAAACACAAATTAATGACATCGAAATAGGGAGTGAGCTAGGGAACAGTGATCACAAAGAAATCAGATTTAGCATAGAATGGAATAGACCTGTAAGAGAAAATTCTGTTAAAGTGCCTGATTTTCGAAAAGCTGATTTCAATAGCCTAAGAATTTTTTGGGGTCAAATAGATTGGAAAGTCTTGGGTTTGGGGGGTGGGCCGGTCTTGGAGCTAGACGTGAACCCAGCGATAGGTGACGTAAAAGGGGATTTCGATGTGGATTCAAAATATAACCTATTTAAAAATATTCTAAGCAAATAGTATACCATATATATTCAATAGATCGAAAACTAATGACCCAAAGTGGATAACAAAGGATCTGAAGAACCTTATAGGTAAAAAGAGAGCTTGGTACAAAAGGATTAAGAATGGAGAAGTCAGTTTAGAACAGGAATTCATACAACTAGTTAGAAATACTAAAAAAGAGATAAGGACAGCAAAAAGAAACTATGAAGTTCGCATAGCAGAGCAAGCAAAGACAAATCCTAACGGGTTTTTCCAGTTATACCGGACAAAGATTAGGGAAAGGATAGGTCCATTAAAAACTGAGACAGGTGCAGGCAATGAGTCACAATAACGTGGCTAAAGTAAGTTGACCAGACCACACACTAGAAGGTGAAGGGACGATGACGTTTCGGTCCGTCCTGGACCATTCTCAAGTTACAATCGACTTGAGAATGGTCCAGGACGGACCGAAACGTCGTCGTCCCTTCACCTTCTAGTGTGTGGTCTGGTCAACTGAGACAAGTCAAATAACAGATAATGATGAAGAGATGAGTAGTATTTTTAATAAATATTTTATATCTGTATTTACTAAAGAGGAACTTAACAATATGCCTTCAGCTGAACAAGTCTATGTGGATGGGGACGAGGACAGGTTGACTAGTTTAGCAGTTACCAGGGAGGATGTAATTAAACAAATAGTTAAACTCAAACCAAACAAATCCCCAGGGCCGGATGAAGTGTTTGCCAGGGTGCTTAAAGAATACAAAGAGGAACTTTCCGAGCTACTGTTTACCATATTTAATAAATCAATAGAGTTAGGTAGAGTGCCAGAGTCATGGAAGGTTGCCAATGTGATACCAATTTTTAAGAAAGGAGATAGATCACTTGCGTCAAACTATTGGCCAATTAGCCTAACCTCTATTGTGGGAAAGTTACTTGAATCGATAATTGCAAATAAAATTCGTCTTCATCTTGAAAAACATAAATTAATAAATGAGTCACAACATGGTTTTACAAATGGCCGTTCATGTTCAACAAATTTGCTATCTTTTTATTCCAGCATAGTTGAGGCAGTTGATAGTGGTAAGGATTGTGATGTTGTGTACCTTGACTTTAGCAAAGCTTTTGATACAGTGCCACATGAAAGACTGATTAAAAAGATAGAGGCTCATGGTATTGGGGGTGCTATATTAAGTTGGATTAGGGCATGGCTATTCCAAAGGAAACAGAGAGTTAGTATAAATGGGGTTAAGTCAGAGTGGGAGAATGTTGTAAGTGGAGTGCCTCAAGGCTCTGTCCTGGGACCTCTGTTGTTTATAATATATATAAATGATTTAGATTCAGGTTTGAGTAGCAACATTTGCAAATTTGCCGATGATACAAAAATCGGTAGAGAAATTAACACGGAAGAAGACTCGCTATCACTTCAAGTTTATCTAAATAGGGTTTTGAAATGGTCAAAAGATTGGCAGATGCAGTTTAATGCTGATAAATGTAAAGTTTTGAGGCTAGGTAATGATGATAGAGTTACAAGATACGAGCTAGATGGTGTTGAGATTGCGAAGTCGGATTGCGAAAGGGATCTGGGAGTTATGATTAGTAAGAATTTAAAACCAAAAGATCAATGCATGAATGTTCGTAATAAAGCAAATAGGACACTGGGATTTATTAATCGAAGCGTTAGTAACAAGACACCTGGTGTTGTTCTTCAGCTATATCTTGCTCTGGTTAGGCCCTATTTAGATTATGCAGTTCAGTTTTGGTCGCCGTACTATAGAATGGATATAAATTCACTAGAACGCGTCCAGCGTAGGATGACAAAGTTAATTCCCCAAATTAGAAATCTTTCATATGAAGAAAGATTAAAAAAGCTTAAATTGCATTCCCTGGAAAGGCGAAGAGTTAGGGGTGACATGATAGAGGTTTACAAGTGGATGAATGGACATAACAAAGAGAATATTAATAGCATATTAAAAGTATCAACACAAGACAGAACACGAAACAATGGGTATAAATTGGATAAGTTTAGATTTAGGAAAGACTTGGGTAAATACTGGTTCGGTAACAGGGTTGTTGATTTGTGGAACCAATTACCACGTAACGTGGTGGAGGTGGGGTCCCTTGATTGTTTCAAGCGTGGGTTGGACATGTATATGAGTGGGATTGGGTGGTTATAAATAGGAGCTGCCTCGTATGGGCCAATAGACCTTCTGCAGTTACCTTTGTTCTTATGTTCTTATGTATGGTGAGCCCGTAGTGGGCTTACCTGGCACAGGAGCGGTGCTGTGTCGTGATCAAGTCGATTGTGACCATTTAACATAACACTTGCTTTTTATTGGTTGCCGTTGAGGTGGGTATTGAGTGAGGTGGGTACATGAGAATGGAAGTAACTGCAGAGGGCCTATTGGCTCATAGTAGTAGTAGGCATCCGTCAATCCCGTGGGGTTATGGAGTTGTGCTCTGGGTGTCTAGTTGTTGTAATCTAGTTGGGTGCAGCGCCTGCTGTGGCTGTGAAGGCCAACCCGAGAATGACAGTCTCGACTGCAGCGAGCGCAGATAAACGCCGAAGCGGGTGCGTCTGACAGTGGTCGAGACCTCCTCTGAAG